AATTTCTTTAAAGTAATTACTTGTTGCTTCTACCGTGGAAGTTAGTTTCCGGTTGAAAATCAATGGACGCATCCACGACGGCAGCTTTCTCATTATGCGCTGAAAGCGTCCTCCCCTGAACGCGATCGATCAAGGAGGGGATAGGGGGTAGGGAGGGGAGGGGGCATCCGATTACGAATCGAGACAAGGACGTATACACGCGCGTTTCTTCTTCCTTTCGATCGATCCTGATTTCCCTATATTCTTGTGTCCCGGAGAATCGTATTTTATCGTTCCGTTCCGAGTCGATTCGGGGAAGAGAAAAGCTAATTCCCGGCCGAAGTCGAAAGAATCGTTAAAGCGTGAGGAGGAGGAGGAGGAGGAGGAGAGGAAGGAGAAACGGTCGGTAAGGTAAACGGTAAAATCAGAGCCGCCATTGATACGGAGACCTTACGCCGCAGCCTCGAAACCTCGAGTTTACGACCTCTTTGCCGAGTTTCTTTCGTAAATACGACGTGGTTGTTTCGAACGTGGAACGAAGAAGCGGAAACCGAGTGCGAATCGGTAGATAACCGTGCCAAGGACGACCGATTCGTGTCGATTATTTGTGGAATATGACGAGAATTACGGCGTTCTCTCTCGCCGCCATTTTGCCGCTTCGACTCCCTATTTTAATCCATCTTCCAAAATCTACCCATTACGATGGATTTAACCTACGTTTACGCGTTATGCGAAAACCGATAAATAACATGGTTAATTTTTTTGGAAATTTTTATTTGAAATTCCAAGATATTTCGAAACAAAAAAGAAAAAGAAATCGCTCGGAGAGGAAGAACGAAGGCGCGAGATTTCGCGGTATCGTTTGAGATATTTTGGACTTCGGAGAGAAACATCCAGTTTCTCGGCGAATTTACAGCGCCATCGTTCGTTCCACGATTACTCGAGCGAGAGTTAATCGGTCGATCCACTCGTGTTGTTATTCGATAAAGATCGGCCAGATCGAGGCCCCGATTCTTCTTCTTCCCTGAGAAAGAGACGACCGATCGAACATCGCCGTAATCCCTTTAAACAACTCTAAACGTGTTTCCCTTTCCCTTGTTTGTCTTTATCCGTGGACGCAGTCACGTGAGCGTGCAAAATTCTGCGCTCTTAAAATAACTTGGCAGGTAAAAGGAGTCGTAGTAGTAGACAGAACCCGGGAAAACGCATCGCCTCGTATTCGAAATCGAAGAAACGATAAGACGTATTCTTTCTTTCGCCTTCGATCGAATGCACCCGAACTCGCGATTCATCCCGCATCCTATTTAAAAGCGCAACTTTTTCACGATGTAAAAAAAAAAAAAAAAAAAAAAAAAAGTATCGAGTAGGAATCTCTGTCGCGTCTACGCCCCCTTTTCCCTCCAGATTCGTCCAACATTTTTGAGCGAGCAAGAAATCACGAACGAGTTCAACGAACCCTTGTTTCTGAATCGCGGCGCCATAGCGACCCCTAAATCACTGTCACGGCGAATCGTCGCTATCTAATACTCTATCTTTCGCACAGCTTATAAAGGCGAGCTGCGTGCACGCACCGCATTTTGCATCGTGCCGCGTGCGCGTGCAGTTGCGTGCCTGGCACGGCAGCGGGCCACGCACCTCTTTTTCGCAGTCACGCACCAAAACAAACCCCCCCCCTCCCCATAACCGCGCCACCGAACCTCCGACTTTTCTTCGCCGACCAACTCGCTCGTCCATCCATTTTTTCCCATCGTCGCGGTGACGACGTAGGCCGCGATGTCGGTGGAAAATTCATCGTGCAACAACTTTCCAACAATGAAAAGCTCCGACCGACTGTTTCGAAATTAATTGGCCGCGAACGAATTGGACGGCGTCGCTTTCCGATCGGTATTCCTTCCTCTCTTTCCTCTCCTTCCCCTTCTTCTCTCTTCTTTCCTCCTCGTTTTAGAAGGCAACGCAGCTGTAAAGACGGTGGTTTTGCGACGCGGTGCACGCGAAATTTACGACACGCCGTTCAATATTACACGGAAGGTGAATATTTCACGGCGGGGCAAGTTCAAAGAAAACGTCGTCACCGGCGCTACGGAACACGTCGGCGTATCTTAAATCGGTCGTGAAGGGCCCGGGCCCCCACCGCCTCTGTATCTGCATTAAAATTTGCCCCTCGAGGCTCGAGCGTACCTGCGTATTTTACGACTCTTTGTAGATCGTTTCGTCGACGTCGAACGAAAACGACGGCTCTCGCCTAGACGGCGACAAACACGACAACGGGAACGGCTCGAGACCCGATAGACGACGTTAACCGAACAAGAGGGTTGAGAATCAATTAGACGGCGAGTCACCGGAAGTAAGACATGTACGCTTCCTGACGCGCGCGTCATACCCCATTGTTCCAACACGAGAGAGACTTCATCTTCTCGACGTACGAGCCACCTGCACCCTCCTCTCCTTCCCTTTCTCTCCCGAGAATCGATCGCGAACACGATCGCGACACTTGTTATCCGCCAAAGGAAGGAAGAAAGAAAGAAAGGAAGAAAGAATGAAACTGTTATCGTTATCGTTCGCTTTATCATAACGAATTCCTTAAACGGTTCGATGATCGAACGATCGTATCGCTATTTCCGACAAATTATATAAATCGTAAAGAACACGAGTGGGACGCGTTACACGCGTGAAGGAACGCAAACCAGCCTCGTTAAGATCGGGACACGTGAGCCCATAAACGAGTACGTTCCGTTTTACCTACGCGATGTAGGCGGTCACACCGTTTCCAACCACCATTTTTACCTTCCGACCGGAGAACGGATCGACGAATAATCTCTCGAAATTTTCTTTCTCTCCTTTTCCCTCTCCCTCTCGTTTCCAATTTGTCGCGAGATTCGATTCGACGTTCTCGAGCGACGAAATCGATCCGCCTTGCGATCGACGATAATTCGTGAAAAAAATTCGATCCTTAGCGATAGGAAGGAGGTGCCCACGCGGATGTGCAAAACAATGGGACAATGTCAAAGTACAATTATGGTAGCAGCCGAATGCGATTCGCCCACCTCACTGCGTTCCACGCACCTCGTTTCGCTCTTCGCCTCTTTGTCGCTTTCCTCTTTATTACCGTCCATAGCTATTAACGCGACGTTTATTCCCCATCTATTCAAACGCGAATTATTTTAATATCTTTGCCGCGTGACAAACGTACTCGAAGAAAGATCGAGATATTTCTTACGAATTTCCTATCGATTGGTGGAATTTTAAGAAAATTGAACCGCCAAAAAACGCGATCGTAATCGAAACTTTCGTGCAATTTTTCGTCTCTGTTGTTACGTCGCGTCATTATATGTGCGAATGTATCGCCATTTTTAAACAATTTGACCACGAGAAACACGAATTTGGACACATTTTCCAACTTTTCGATCGGTTAAATCCGACACACGCTCGACCAGTTATATCTCTCGATCGTTATTTCGCACAAATCTGAACCAGCTATTCGATCGAATTGGAACAGAGATAGAAAAGAATAATAAGCTGTCCTATCAACGCGATTTCGAATATTTTAGGATCGATCTAATTCTCCGCTTGCTAATTTCCATTCGCAAGATCGACCTTTCCACGGCAACAGCTATCAATCTCCATTACAGCTTCCGACAAGCGTCGCTTTCGGGCGCACCTTCCCTTCTGCGTACGCCCTCGAAGCGCGTTAAATATCGTTCTACCTATTTCTGAACGTGTCTGAACGTCGATACGAACGATGCCCAGCGAGAAATTACCGAAATCTTTGAGGGGAAAAAATTAAGAGAGAGAGAAAACGAAAGAGGGTACGACGACGACCCTCCTCCTCTCACCCCTCGTTGGAAAGTTGGCAGACTCGATCGGTTCGTGCACGACCGGCTGGCCTGTGTATCTTTAACTTTCCGTCGACGTCCGTTTCTCTCTCTTCGATGTCTCCGACGAACACGTCTCGCGACGCATTGAAATGAAAATCAGTGCAAGCAGTTGCGCCGATCTTCCTCAGTCGATAAAGTAGTTGTACCAGTTTTACTCGAAACCCTCGACTGGTCGCGACAGGTCGAAACGTGAATACCAGACGCGTCGTCTCGTAACGAACGTTCGTAATTTCGTGAAGAGAGAGAGAGAGAGAGAGAGAGAGGTAAATGAATGAATAAAAAGAATTAGAATTTATAACGATCGAAGGATGGACGAAAAATAAAACGCGTATTTACGAGACAGGAAACCTCTCTTATAGGAAGGAAACGCGGTGAACCGACATTTCTCTTCGAACCGATGAGAAATAATACAATATGGGAATGAGAAATTCTAATTACCGGAAAATGCAAATACTTGGAACGAAACCGTAAAATGGTAATTAGCGTTGGTAGCAGTTTCTTGGACGTATCTTGCATATGGAACTCGGTAACGCGTTGTAGCTTCGCAAACGCCACGTTCCTTTTCCTCCCCCGACGAATCGTCGTTGTAGGGGGAATTCGTACAAAAACTTTTTCGAATGAATCTTTTTTTTTTTTTTTTTCTAAGTAATTTATTTCAGGTTAAAAGATTCGCCTGGTACGTACATACGTTGAAACAAATTTGAGCATCCTGTTCCTAGTTCCTAGTTTCAGTTTTATATACGTATAAAACGTTTCTCAATTTTTTCATTAGGGAGTAAGAGAGAAAAGAAAAGGAGAAAATTTTAAAGTCGGGACGCGTAGAGCGCGTTCGTTGACGCGAGATTATCGCGAAATTAAAAGATTGGTGAAGCGTTTTTCAAAGCGTCCGATTTTCGAGAGATTAGAAAAATGATTTCTCGCTAAGTCGCCGAATGGATGTTTACTCGTTTAACGAAGAAGAAGAGGAAGAAGAAAAAGAAAAGAAGGATACGAATTCGTTGCGAAATCGGTAAGACGATCGAACTCCGTCCGAGAGGCGATTAAACGGATTAATCGAGGATGGTATCCAACGAAACGGATACGTAGACGTTGCGCGATCGTTTCACGGATCAGGCGGGAAAGAAATTCTTCGATCGATTGGCTTACCTCGTAAGACGAAAGTAGGACGGGTTCGTTCCAAATCCTGAACAACGCACGGCAGACGCATCATTGGACGGTGCGAGAGTGTCGGTGTGAGGAAACGATTGGAGAAAACGCGGACGGTGCATCTTCGGTTGAAAACGGTCGGGCTGTATTCTCAGGTTGGTGATCGATCGCGGGGAATGCGAGACGTCGAAGTCGATAGATTGGCTGTCGGTCGAAAGGAAATTATCCATATCAATATCGATACACACGTGATATCATTTAAGAGGATTTTTTTCGGGCATCGATGACGCGACAACGCGATTCTCACGTGTCCCTAACCCGGGCCGCCATCTTGCTCGTCCACCATGCGAAGTCAGATCTCCCCACCACCGATCGTCGCCCCTCTTCCAATCTTCGTAAAGCAAAGTTTTTGATACGCCAATTCTCCTCTAACACCTACTTCTGCTTCTCACCGTTCCCGCGAAAAACAATTTTCAACCGATATCGATCAATCCATCCGAACGAATCATAATAATAATCGTAATAATATCGCGTACCGTAACACCGTATTTCTCTCTCTCTCTCTCTCTCTCTCTCTCTCTCTCTCTCTCTCTCTCTCTCTCTCCCTCCGATTCTTCTCCGCAGTTCTTCGACGCAGAGACAAACGCAGGACACACGCGCGCACAATATAGTGACGTAGTAACGCGGGGATATACACGAAGAGCGTACACATTGGGAGGAGGAGGAGGAGGAGGAGGAGGAGGAGAGTGGCGCGAATCTCCAATTCAGATAAAAAAAACGATACGTTCGGGGACAAGATGGTGATTTGACCGCCGGGAATTCGACAAACGAAGAGCGACGAAGCCTCGACGATGAAGATTTCCGTGAATCGACGCGTGAGAAGCGAAATCGGTAACGAGCACGAATCGCAAAACGTTGCCATGATTTTAATGTCGTGCGTTGCAGGGTGATTCAGTTTCGCAGGAGCGTCGATTGGTGATGAGTCATGCCTCTTCTTCTCTCTATTCGTTATCACGTTACGAAGCTTTCGGCATCATCGTCTCGTGATTCGTGGCTGTTGCCAATTTGATCGTTCTTAACACGACCTTGACGAATATCGCGATACGTCGCATTCTTGATACATCGAAACTGGTTGGAAGAGAGGAAGAAGAACTGTCACTCGCTTGTCACTCGGGTTTTACCTTGGTGAACCATCGACGATCGATCGGACGGATGGACGGATAGATGTGGATGGATGGACGGACGGACGGACGGCCGGCTCGAGCACAGACGGACGGTCCTCGGTAGGCGGTGCCACGCGCGTTCTCAGACGCGTGAAAAGAATTTCGAACGTCGCACAAGTCTGGCCTTTCTTTCTTCGTCGCACGATGGAAGCACGAGCATCCATTCACAGCCTCGCGGTCAAATTCCTATTCGAAACGACGTGGAACGATGACGTCCGCGCAACGATCAGCCGAACGAACCGAGCTAACCGAGTTTTATTCCCGGAGAAAAAACGAAACGCAGATTCGTAAATATATCCGCGACGTGTTTACGATGGGCCGCCGTTGCGTTGTAAACAAGGTCGACACACCGTTTCGAATCTTTCATTTTTCTTCGATGCGACACTTCCAATCCAAAAAGTATGAAATGGACACGATCGAACAACGACGAGCAACCAGTGGACTCGCTGTGGCGTTCGAAAATAGAGGCGCCGCTTAGATGGCACGCTCGAAGCCGCCGCGGCGTTATCCGTCTTATCGCTCGGCCCATTACGTAAGCCACACACCATGTCGCCCACGTCTTTCGCAAAAGGGGCTTCGTGCGCGGTCGACGGACGAAAGTATAAAAGACGAACGCGGAATAAGCTAATACCGAGAGCGAGAAGCGAGAGGGAAACGAAAGCAACGTGGAACGGAACAAACGGGATAAACAAAACGAAGGAACAAACAGCCGGTTATATTCGTGATACACGATCGAGTTTCAAAGCTTTCCACCTCCTCGTGACGAATGGCTGGTTGTTGGGCGCCACGGAATTTCGCGGCGCCTTCGGGCCGCGTTCACGTGAACGCGATTTACTGCGCAGATTCCAAGTCACGCGGTTCTTCATTCGTACCTACGTAGCCGCACACGATAACTTTTCTTTCTCTATGTGTCCCGCTGCTGCCCCTCGGACGTCGAACTTTCCTCATCCCCACTTTGCGCGTCTTTAACCTCTTTTCATACTACGTATGACTTACGTTTTCGGTTCTTTCCCTCTATCCTATCGTCCACCATGCTTCGTCGTCGTTTAATGCCGTAAATCCTCCCATCCTTGTCTTTTCTTCGCTCCTCGTCTCACCACAGAATTTATTTACGACGATTCTTCGTCTCGTCGACATGGTATATATATATACACACATATATATATGTATTGTATATGTATATATGTATACATATATACATATTGCGTGTCGTGTATATATATATATATATATATATATATATATACACCTTATATTTTATTTCTCGATACTCTTCGCGCACTTTTAATTATCCCATCGTCCATTTCCAATTTCTTCTTCCGCACGGTTTATCATAGGATAACTCCGGTCGTTGTCAAGTTCGTTGTTACCGGCTGAACAAATTTCCTCGCTCTTCTATTTCGATTGATCGTTCGTTCCTTCCTTCCTTCGTTATCGTCCTCGTATTCGTCGAATATCACGAGGGGGACGATTTCGTCGATCACGACCGTATACGTTCTTCGCACTCTGCGTACAATTTGCCCATTATACAAGATCCAGCGGTTATTCCTTGTTCTCGCCAGTTTGCCGATTGGCGCGTTTCGCGTCACGAAACGAGCAAACATACCGGTCGAGCGCACACGTTCCGTTGACCGTTCGTCGTTCGTTCGTTCGTTCGTTGGTTGGTTCGTTGATTCGTTCGCGTGTCGCTTCCCGTCCCTGTTTTGTCACTGTATCGACGATTCCATGTACGCTTTTCCCCCCCCTCTCCCCCATCACTGTCAATTTTCTCCGACTCGGCTTCGAATCGTGACGAAACACGGTCCCGAACGCGACAAACAACTCTGTCGAAAACGTGAAAGTGTGCGTAACGCACGAGCGTCATGAACGGTCCGATGTATGCGTGAGAAAACATGTACCGACTCGCGTGCGCAGAAGCAAAGCGCACACGCGAGAGACGCAGTTTAAGCCTAAGGAGAGAGAGAGCGGCGACGTTACGGAGGTTCTCTGACTCTCGTACTACACACTGGGTGGCCCGGGTTAGCGTACGACGCAGTTAAAATGGCCGCGAATATGTTGTTTTCTCTCTCTCTCTCTCCTCTCTCGTCCATCCTCTTTTCTCGTCCGTCGTCTTTTCTCCTTTTCCCGTAACGGGTCGTCCGTCCGTTTCGTTGGCACACACGCGACATCGTCGTCGTCGTCGTCGTCGTCGTCGTCGTCGTCGTCGTCGTCGTCGGGATTCACGGCGTGGCCCGGCCCGTGAAATCGAGAACGGTTTTCGTTCAACACGACACGACGACGAAACCGTGCTTCGTTGTTTGTTCCTCGACGGACGGAAAAAATAGAGACATCGCGAAGTCGGACGCGAACGCGAAACCACGATTCGCGATGACACTTTGAGCAACGGACACGCGCGAAGTTCCGCGTGGGACTGTGCGCGCTAACGTGAGTCTGACGCCGCCGTGCACGTCGACACAACACACACCGAACGCGAGATGCGACGCAAGAGCGCAGCGCCACGCTCGGTCGTCGCCGAAACTGCGAGGGTAAATAGCGCCCTGTTAAGGAGGGGAGAGCAACGGAGGGGTAGGGGTACTAGGGGAGCAGAGGGAGAGACTACTCGCGTACCGAGCAGTGTACGCCGCGGCGGGAGGGGGGAGAAGGAGGAGAAGAACGAGGAGGGAAGAGGGAGGGGGGAGGGGGGAAGGAGGAGGAGGAGGGGGGGGAGGGACGATGGGTAAGGGAGGAAGAAACCGAGGGAAAGAAATATATAGAGGAAGAGAGAAATAGAGCAAGAGAAGAAGGGGGCGGGGAGGGGGCATCTCAAGAGTGCGTCGGGCCAAGTGCGCGAGTGTCGTCACATCCGGTATTCGGGGTGGCGCTGTACTGCGATACGTTTACGTGTGTGCGTGCGCGATAAAAGGCCGACGTATACGCGTATATGTGCGCATGTTTGTGAATACGAACGCGTATAGGGTGAAGTGAGAGCAGCGTAAGCGTGACACAACATTCCGTCCGTGCATCGTGTGTACGCGGAAAATTATGTGGCACAGGTCGCTGGGATTCTACAGATATGGGCTGTCACGTGAGACGAGCATATGGCTGGTTTGGCCTGTTGAAAAATTCATAGCCTCGCTTTTGCCGTGCTATCGCGTCCCGGACTTTACGCGCTTCGCTGTATCGAAAAGTATAGGATTCCGATTGTCGCGCGTTCGCGGTGGTGAATCGGTCGAACCGGTAAACGAGCGCGCGCGTGCCACGGAACGAACACGGAGTGCAACGAATTCCAAGCTATGCGGAAAATCATATTTTCTATGCCGCCGGTACTGTTACGTTGTTATGCGTGGATCTCTTCTCGTTTCCGCTACGAATTCTTGGCATACTTAACGTCGCGTACCACCACGTTGTCATTAACAACGCGATCTCAACTTTGAAACGCGTTCTCTATATACGAAATTATAGTTATTACGAATATGTTGATCACTCTCTCGATCGATATCGAGATTAAATTTGCCAAACGATATACGATACGAAATGCGATCGATGTGAAAAAAATGAAAATAATTAATCTTCTTTCAAATGTACACGAGATACATTTTTACGCGTTAGAAAGTAGCCTCGATATTGCCTCGATTAGAGACAATAATCGGTAGCAAAGAATAGCGCACAACCGTTCTAAAAGTAGCTTGCGAAGCATCGAGCGTCAAACGATATGCTCCCGATTAAATTGGGATTAAGCGCGAGAGATCTGCACGGTGAAGCGAGGATCATTGCGAGACAGAGAAACACGCCTTCGCTCGGTACGTCCCTGATTGTTACGGAATAGAGACGCGGCAGAAATAGCACCGTTCCTCGACATTCCTTATAATCCACCGTCTGAAAGCGGGGACACGCAGGGAGGAGATTGTGTGAAACAACGTTGCGCGGCGACTACGACTACTAACTACGAACCACGAATACGACTACCACGATATTCGGTTCCGCGTCACTGCTACTTTTCGCTGTGTTGTTGTACATCGTCACACGCGACAGACACGCATCGCATCATGGTATATTCCGTTTTCCAGAATGTGCCGCACTAACACGCTCGTGCCAGCCAATTAGATTTGTTCGTAGCCTCTGGACTGGCAGTTGTGAGAACGCGCCACTCGTTGAAAGTTTTCTTCTTCCTCTTCGTACGAACGACAAAGAGCTCGCGCTCCCGCTCCGTGCTTACGTTCCCGCATACCATCGATCGTATCGTTTTCGGCTGGTCTCTTTGTCTCCTCGTTGACACCAAATTGTCAATAGAGCGAGGAGACGAATCATCGATAATTTCGATCGCCATCGCCATGCTCGAATCCGTGCATTCTTACACGAAAACACGAATTATTCTTCCACTCGTCGTCACTTTTCATCTCTATATTGTTATTTCTCGAATCTCGATGTCACAAATTCGCCTTTTTTTTCTTTTCTTTTCTTTTCTTTTTTTTTTTCTTTTTTTTTTTCGTAATCGCAATCACGGCTCGTGGAAGAAACGAGGCGCCTTCGCATTCGAGACGAACGAGTTTCGCGGAATACTAATGACGCGTACTCCGAGTATTACCGAGTGACTGACGTAGAAAAACGAAAACTCGGGGAACGTTTTGTTGCGTTATCGTTCGACGCTGTCGAGGAACGACCTCGAACGGGCCGACAGTATCCATACGTATACGTGTGTGTGCGTGCACGTACGTACGAGGTTTCGCGCACGGAGAAGCGTGCACGAGCACACATTTAAAAGTCACGTGGCGCTTGACGTCGCGACGATGCAGCATTTCATTCACGACGATCGATTTCATTAGCGAAACGTCGACGTTCCGCCTCGACGAAACCTTTGAATCGACCGGCTACGTTCGCGTATCGTGAAATAATTTTTCACCGACATATCGATTTATCTGGCCGTCCGTGCACGCCCGTTCCTCCAACCGATCATCGGCTACCGATGACGTGTGCCGATAACGCGCCACTCACGTTTCGTTCACAAACGAAAATATCGCCGCGGCCTCTCCTCGTTTATTCTCTTCGTTCGTTCGTTCGTTCGTTCGTTCGCATCGTCGTCCCTGCTTCTTGTGTCTACGTATATCACGTGATACGCGTGACGTTTACGTTTGTACATTTTCCTCACGTGTTGGGCAAACGTCACGCGTGGTCGATACCGATTGTCGTCCGCCTATCTCTCCAACGCGAATATCGTAGATGCGCGCAGTTACGAGAGGGACGCAAGACCGCGGGCACAAGTAGGGCAGCCGAGAAGAAAAAGCGAGATTCATCGAACATACGCGCGTACATTACACGGTGCACGCAATGCTCCACGACGACAATGGGAAACAATAATCGACGTTCGAGCATCGCGTCAATTAATTCCACCGCGCGTTATCGGCCGTAGTATCGTAATCGTGGAAGCTTTCGAGCGCCGGTATACGACCGATTTTTACGAGCAATCGGAATCACGCTCTAGCTTCTTCCATCTTCTCTCTACCTCTCCGCGATTCGAACGTACTCCGGTGCGCAAATATTTGCTTTACGCTGCACACTCGCTTCAGTTATATCCTCGTTATATCGCTGTTATATCGCACCGTTGCATAAAGTATTACGTTCCCTCTTTTTCCTTTCCTATTCTCGAATCATCTCTACGAAAATTTTTCGCTTCGTTACGCGATTCAACGTTAAATCGGGATCGAGTGGAAGACGATCGAGTCAGATACATACCTTACAGACGCGTTATCGATGTATCGATCGAAAACACGGTTTCTCTTCATACGGGTACTTTTAATTTTTCGACGCGTAACGACATCGATAAAAAAAAAAAAAAAAGAAGAAGAAAAAGATCAAATAGATTTTTCCGGCGCGATCGATCGTTGAGAAAGATGGACGAGGTTGACGAGATGTCGGACGAAGATCCGACGATTGCTCGTCCAAAGTTTCGCGTAAACATACTTGGAGATTACTTCCCTCTAACGCTATCGAGGGAATTATCAATTAGAATTAATTAGCAATTAAGGGAACCGGAGGACCAACTTTCCACGAGTTACCAGGACGACGCTCGTAAAGAGAAAGCGAAAGGGAGAGGAGAGGGAGGAGTTTCGAGGAGTCGTCTTTGTCGGCACCAATCGATCCGACAGCATTTCTCATTCAACAGGATTTCACCCTTATCGAGATCCGTTTAACAACTCCTCGCGATAATCGGTGAGAAATCGTCTGCCGCCGATACTTTTCTCTCTCTCTCTCTCTCGAATCGTTCTCGCGGAATGGATCGATAACGCGGTACATTTGAAATACGAAACGGAAACGTAAGATGATCGGTGAGAAATCGCGCGAGAGAACGGAAGGGAAAGGAGGAGAGCGCAATCTTGCGCGACCTTTGACACACAATTTAATACACATTCGAGTCGGATCACATGGCCCGTTCATCGGTTCATCGCGATGCGGTTACTCGAGTTATTGTTTCGTTCCCGGATTATCCGGGATGGAAAGAGAAAAAAATTCGTACAAACGTTATGGAATAACCGTTGCTCTCTCGGTTTGAAGAAGAAGAAAAAAAAAAAAATGTATAATCTACTATATAACAGTTTCAACCGAGATATCAATATAACGTGAATAGCGATGACGAAAGCGTAGACTTTGCATCGAAATATTCATACAATAATAATTACAATATTCTATTCGAGCGATGAAAGCCTGGATAAAGAACAATTTCGTTGGAAAAATTTACTTTGTTTTTGAGTTACGAGCCCTTCTTCGCTCCGCGTCGCTTGGAAAAGAAGAAAGAAAGAAAGAAGGAAAGGTTGTCCGCCGATCGATCGAATTCCCATTCGAGAGAGGAGATCAACCAGGAGGAGAGGCGGTCAGCCTCAAAGACACTCGGGTATTCGTCGCACGAGTATTCGAGTCATAATTTCTCATAGCGCGAAGAACCGGTTTCTCCGTAGGTAGTTCAGCTGACTCACGAATTTCCTCGACATTCCACTCGGCCGACACACGTTCCTAATAACAATCTCGGATTCCGCGGAATCGTGATTCGCGACTCGAAACATCGAAACTCGATCATGATCTCTTGACGTGGCGATGATCGCATCGATCGAAATCGTGACTAGATGTAGACCGATGTAGACCTTCCTTCGCGAAACACGACGAGGCATCGTTCGAGGAATCGTCGTTGAACGATGATGGCACGAGGCGCCTAGAGCGCTACTTACGTGTCGCGCGTAAGTAGGCGGCTCGGAATTTTCATCCGCCAACTTTCGCGGATCGTATCGCAACGGCAGAGAGAGAACGGCGCAAACGACCGAGATAGCGTTGCTCACGTTCGCCTCTCTTATCTCGCGTATATAAGTCTTTCCTATTGTCGCGCAAACATCGCGCGGCACGAGTAGGTAAAGTATCTATCTACGTAAGTTTGGTTCGGAGAACGACATAATCGAGAGCTCGTTGTTGACCGTGTCGCAACGAGAGTAAGCGGGTAGGAACGCGGTAGAGTTTTCGATGAAAACGATAATACGAGGAAAACGTAAGCGGAATAAATAAAACGTTTCCGACGAACAGGGTCCGCGCGCGCGCGCGCGAGACAGAGAGAGAGAGAGAGAGAGAGAGGTCTTGAACTTGCCGCTAAGACTCGGGAGGAAACTATTACCGCGGGGCGGCGGTTATTCAAAGTGGCGTA